TTTGTTCATTATTAGTCAATATGTTCTGTGTCTCTCACATTCTCTCCATTTATTTAATTCATATTCCACTTTCTATTTTTCTCTCTCTCTGGCATTTTCTTTCTTTCTTCTTGTTCTCTCTCTTACTCTTACTATATTTTGCTATTTCTAAATTTAGCATAAAATACAGTTAGCCTTATCTCAAAGCATTCTGTTTATTTTAAACTTTTACTTAACACATCCCATTTTCTCTACTTCACAGTTCCTTGATTCTATATCTCTATTTTTACTTTGGCTTTATTTACATCGATCTGAATTCTTTCTCGAACGAATGCATGCCATTTCCCTTATACATGCTTAAAATATTTCTCACTCCACTCTCCCTTTGTTCGCTTTGATATCTAAACATATTTTCTTTTTCGATAAAGCAATGTCGCTCTACATTTCCATCTTTTGTTTTACTCAGGCCTTTATGAAATATTGCTGAAACAAATTATATTGCATCTTTTAGATAAATGTTATCTTTCTCTAGTTAAAAAGAGGGACGAAATAAAAAAAAATAGCATTGTAATTTAAATTTCCACAAGTAAAATATAAACATACATTTATTTCTGTTGTGAAAAGGCTTACGAAATTTATGGAGCTATTGAATTTGCATAATGGAAAAGAGGCTTACTACCCTATTACGTTGAAATAGCTTTTCTGCTCCGATCATCGAAATTAGGCAACTAGCCTGGTCATGGGTGATTGCCTCGGAAAACCAGGTGTTGTAAGCTTGGATATGTGGGTGGTGTAATAGATAACGACTCTGAATGAAGACATAGGAGTTCTGAGTTCGAATACTAGTAAGGTTTGTTACATTCACTTATGCAAATAATCTTGGGTAATCAAAAATCAAAAAGAGACATAATCTCACAAGCGTGCCACATCCATCCCTATCTTCACACATTGTATTAGCACAGTACGTTAATAGTAGATTATTGTCTGTGAATCAAGGGAAATCCTAAGTCTAACGAAGGATTTTCACAAGTATAACTGGAAGGGAACATTAATGTAAAAATTTGGACTAAAGATTTCGATTATTTCTCTTCATCTATCACTTTTACTCATTATGTGTTTTTATATATTGCTTGTTCCCTTTGAGCAATGACATTATTACTTTTGTTAACGACAGTCTTCGCAAACCACGCTGTAATCTATGAGTGACATCTAATCGCCACAGCCTCATTCACTCCACTAAAAACAGAAGTTTGGACATCAGGTATTGCACTTTCGGGGAAATTTGTGTCCTAGCTACCTGTAAACATGTATGCGTACCACACGTTAAACCGATTTTCTTCTTACGCTTCCATTCTAGATGTGATTGTAAATATCAGAATTGCTTTAGATGTCTAGTGGATTTCAATTTAGAGCACCTATACAATTGTATGTGTAATATTAGGTCAAATTTCAACTACTATACAATATGACTAAGCAGTAAGAAATAAAATATGTCCATAGATTATATCATTATATTTATGCAAGCAGAAAATGTAGTCGGTTTGTTGTCTTAACAAATTATCTTCGGCAATTGTACGCACATGTTGCTAAAAAAAAATGAATACAGTGTGGAGGCCAGAAAATACAATCATGGCTCCAAGCAGTAAGCATTTGAAATATTGAAAATCTCAAAACTCTGTGCAGAAATAAAATCAGGACGGAGTATAGCAAGATCTCTTTATTTTTCACCGTCTGTTGAATGTAAACAATGTTGCAAGAATGCACAAATTGAAAATGGTGAGTAAACATTATTGAAAGAAAGCTAAAATCGAAATATAATGCGTTTCGACCACAGGAAATGTTTAAATGCTAATACGTAAATCTCAAATGACATGACAACAGAAAAGCCACAAGTGGAAAATATATGAGCGGAACCAGGTTTTTGTGTTAGCTATTTTAGTGGATACCCGTAGATGCTCCCTTTATTCTACGAGTAGGGACTTTCTCTTTAATAAATTTGATCGATTACCGAAGGCGGTAGATAATTACGCAGGCTGGTAGACAACATACATGCAACTAATTAAATAGGGTATGCAGTAAGAATAATATTCTGAAAAGACAAAAAAAAAGCTAAAAACAATCATTATAAAAGACGAAAAAGGTTTAAGGGGGCTACAAAAAAGCAATTCTAGACTGGGGATTATTGGATGTTTGAATGAAAACGATATTCATCGGAGAATGATGAATTTATATTTGTCAAGATGATGAGTTCGGAAATGGTATCTGATATACAAAAAATATATAACGATTAATTTCTCTAGGAAAATGAAAAATTATTCTATTATTATTGTTTATGAATTATAAAACCTGGGTAGGTTTCAATGACTCATTAACTATCAAGCACAAGTAAGGCCCAGATGTTGATGAGATGTTTAACGTTACTTCATTACACAGGTAAAAAATATATCTCGTGAAGATAAAACCAATTTTAATGTTGGTAATACATCTTACTACAGAATAAAGTTTTTTTTTAAAACCTTTCATTAGAAAAAGGCCATCGACTAAAGAGCATTGTGATTTTCTAATCGTAGCTAAGATGTTGGACCAGGCCGACAGGTTCGGGCACCCAGTGAGGTTCGAGCTGACTCCTCAGTCTTAAATGCTCTAGCGAGACAATTGTTCTAACCATTACATCACGTCAATGTGTCCATAAATTCATTTATAAGCGTAGATTAAGCGTGGCATATGGCCGAATGTATGGAACACGAAATGAGCATCGCATTTGGAGCACCGAATGAGGATTGCAATTCTCAGTTTGCTAATTTTACAACATTAGATATTTCTTAAATTATTTCATGAATGAGCTATTAAAAATCATTTTTACATAAATGCATATTCTAAGTATTATGAAGTCAGCTGTTTGTCAAATCTCTTATGTGTTCTTTGATATGAGGTCATTAAAACTTGTATGAACATTGTGTTTGTGTGGAATTTTCATTTTTGTGTTTGCTTTAGATGTAATGATATTTAATTAGGTTTTACGCCGAGTCCAACTTCATCCTTTATACATTATATTGAAAATAAATTATATTTCTGATGTTTAATCTTTTTCTTCAAATTTTACTGATACTTTCTTCGCTATCCTTTTGCTTCTCTATTATTACCATTACCATTATCAATATTTAGCTATCCCCCCACGTGGGATTGAATGTGGCACAAGGCCGAGTTTATTGTGGGTCATCCGAGCCCGTAGGCCCGGCCAAAAATATAGCCTTCGAACCTGCCTAGGCGGTTTCGAGGCCTGCCAACCTCCCCGAACGAAACCTTGCCCTTCGGCAAAGCTTCGTCCGGGTTTCTCCCTGCTAATGCAGAGAGTTAGACAGACGGCGCTGACTGTAACTTAATACAGCTATCACCATTAACCTTATCCTAATCACTATTTACTACCAGATACATTCTCTAACCTAAACATATCTTATTTAATATCAGAAAATAATATCAGTTTAATCTATTTTATAATATTGTTCCAACCAATTTAAGTTTCGAAGGTCACTGATGGTAGAGGGTTACACAGTATAAGAAAAGTCAAAGTTGCCAAACGTCATGATCAAGAAGATAAGTATGACAGGTAACGATTGACCCTTGATTTGAAGTGGTTAATAGTTTTTGGGGAAGAATCCTCGGGGTGGTGTGTTTGCAGCTTTCTGGAAAAGACTGAGTGAGTGGAACGTACTTTTTACAAATGTGATCCAGGGAAAATATGGGTGATTAGACGTTGTGCTCCTAGCATAAAGTACCCAAATTATAAACGTCTGAACTGGTGTAACTCATCAATGAAGCTCTTCTGCCATGAGAATAACGATAGAGTAGCGATAGTCGTGTAACATTGGGTCTGTCCGTACGAGACTTTAACGGACGAAAATAAGACATTCCCTAAACGAGAACATAAAGGAGTTTGAAATCTAGCACGTCTGGAAAGAGAGAACTTGGCAGTTCCACATCATGCATGATATCAATTGCCCAAATTTTATTCTCCTTGCACTATTGTATACAGATGCATAGCAGACGATGTCAGGAACTTTAGTGACAGTTAAAAGGGGCACACATGTTTGTGTGCGTGCGTGTGTGTGTCTGTAAGAGTTCAGTCGTCAGATACTTTAGAGATATTGGAAGTTACATGTCACTTGCTTTCCATTGAGCTATTTGAGCTACGTAAGGACACATAGATTCTTGGAGGCTCTGCCTGGAACTTCAGTATTACGAGTATATATTTTTACTAACAATTTGATAATGTTCATAGACTAATCGTCAGTAAGAAAAAAAAACATAAAGAGGTTAGGACCTAGAAGGGGGCGTTAAGAGACATCTGCTTTAACCTCATGGGCTTCAGAAGACAGAGAATTTACAATGATATTTTTAGACCTACATCAGACTATGGACTTAATTTTTGTTAAGGCTGCACTATACCAAAAAGCCTTCGAGTGCTTCACTGATCACCCTACCTGAGAATTTTATATTCTGGCTTATATTTTTATCTCACATTCACACTAAATTGTAAACTTACATCAAAATTAGTCTTTTTTTCCCGTACTATTGCCCTTCGTTTTTTCAGCAAATGTCTTTTTGCTATTCCCTAGTTTTACTTTAATTTCTTCTTTTGCGTCTTCATTCACAATTATTTCTCATTTTCTCTTTAGGTTTTTAAATTTAGGTTCTTATTTGTCTTATATTCTTGAACTTTCTGTTACTTTCTATTCCCCTTGTTCGTTTTCAATTCAATTATCATTACCATAATCATCATCCACATCAGAATTTTTTCTTGGCCATCTGTCCTGATCGCATTCGTTTTGTATCCTAACACACAGTTCATTAGGTAGAATTATTAATTTAAGCGTGACTCACTTTCAGTCTTCCTTCTCTTCTTCTGTCTTTCTCATTCTATTTCTTAATCAAAGTATTTTATCGCCTCTATGTTGTCTTTTATCTTATTTTCATTACTTAAATTCTACACTTCATTTTTTCTAAACTTCTTCATCGATAAAATGTACATTTCTTTCAGTCTCTCATTTTCTCTTCGTTTTATTTGTTCTTTTTCACGACCTGTTTTTTTTTTCTAACAATATTTCTCACCCTTTCTCTTTACCTGTAACTATCTTCATTTTATTCGTTTTTTCGTTTTCTAAATGTCCTTTTCTTCTTTCGCCTATAATATCACGTTTATTATTCTCGCTTTGTCTCCGTTTGACTCTTCGTTGCTTTAATTCTCTTTATCTAGGCACATTATAGATTCTTTCACTTTCCTTCTTTTCTTTGTTCTATCGCTCCATCTGCCGTTGTTATTTTCTTGGTCTTTCCTTCTCTCGTTTCTCGTTTATGTCTTTGTTCTTTCTCTCTCTCTTTGCTTAATTGGTTTCCTTGTTTTCTCCCTCTCCATTTCCTCTTTCGTTTCCTTGCTCTTGCCCTCTACCTTTTCGCCTCCCCTTCTTTGTACTTTCCTTCTCAATTTCTTCTTTTGTTTCCATCTTCTTTCCCTCTCTCTCTTTTCTTCTTCCTTTCTTTGGTCTTCCCCTTTCCCTTTCTTTGTTCGCTTACTTCTTTCCGTCACACTTTTCTTTTTGGTTTTGTGTTTTTCTCTGCATATGATTTTTTCACCTTTCCTTTTCAATTTTAAAATTTAATTTTCTTTAACTCCGATTCATCTTTCGCATTTCTTTTTCTATTTAGACTTCGTATATTCTCCGCCTTTTATTTGACATTCATTTTTTTTTTAATTTTTAATGTTTTTTTTCTTTATTCACACCCTATCTATAAACTTTTATTTCTCTAAGTAGATTTATTTATTTTCTCTCTCAAATATCTGATTCTTTCTTTCCTTTCGTACTTCCTCGCTTTCATTTCTAATCATTTTCTCTTATTCATAATATTTCCCACTTTTCTTGTTAAACAGCTCGCCCTCACGATATCTTTATTATTCACGTTCATTTTCTTTTGCATACATTTAGCATTCTTTTTCTTTGTCTGTCACTCCTCCCCACGTCATATCCTGAGCGTCTCTTCCTCTACTCAATTCATTGCGCTCATTTGCCTCCACCACCGCCAGTGATCGGCTGCATCACGTGATTAATCAACACTTTGATGTCGGCTCACCGGCCACTGAGGTTAAAACGCCCTGAAACTCAACACTGGTCAGAATTAGCCAATTTTCTTCATCGTGAATGAGATGGAAACGTGTAAAGAAAATGAAAAGGAAACAACGTCGAGAAAATGTTGTTGTGTTCCAATGTCATTAACCACAACGCAAAAGTAGCAACAATGATTTCCACGAGACAAATGATGCCAATTCCTAGGCATACCTTATGTTTTCGCTTCTTTAATTTGTTTAGTAAGGTATTTTATGTGAAAATAAAGAATGTAAAGGTAGAGTGCATACCATGCTGGAAAATGATAATTTATCTATGTGTAAATATTTGGCGGGAATTACCATCTATCTCATCCATCAAAACCAAAAATGTATGAAGCATAAACAAAATTGAAATTACCATTTGCACGGTCATAGGCTGTTTCAAATGTTTATTACACTTATTGAATGAATTACCAAACTGTAATCTGATGTTAGAAAATCCCTTTTTACTTCCATAACAAGGTAATAAAATCACCCACGATTGATCAACAACTATTGAGGTATGGATTATCTCCCTTTATACATATTCTGTATTTAAATAAGTCCAGTAGGACACATTCTATTCTAAGCTGAATAAAGTTACAGTTAAGTTACACCTGCGTTCGTTTTCTCACTACAACGTATTCAACTTATAAAGAACATGGAACATTGCATTAGACCACAAAATTTCGATGTCGACCCTAAGCATACCATATCTGCTGAGAAAAGGACTCTTTGGATTTTGCCGTTTGTAAACTTTGTGCATCACCCTCATCGAAAAATAGACAAGACAATGCTGATAACGTCCCACCCTATATTCAGACTGTCCTTTTTACGAGAAGGCTATAAATCTGCTGCATGCAATTTAGGTCAAGCCTAAAAACGACACTTGCTTGCTTCTCGAAACAGGAAGACGATGAACCAGTCGAGCGATACATAACTAAATTGAGAACACTATGCAAAGACTTCAATTTTCAAGCAAATAATACAGAAAAAGCCCGGGACAAATATATTATGGACGGTTTTATAAACAGCCTTCGAAATATTTAAGTTTGGTAGAGACTCTTCAAAAACTAAACTATGACAAGAACTGCCCATGAGACAGACAACAATGTAGAAGTCGAACAGATAGAGTTCATTTTCTTCTTAATAGAATTGGTTCATCTCAGGTGTCTCACAGTTTATCCGACTATTCATTTTTGTCTTCAGATAGTTTTCGTAACCAAAGTTCTACCTCTGAAGAACCAGTCACGGCGTTATCAACAAAAAATGATTCTTGTGTGGACTCACTTTTCACCCCCGATGTGCCTCTTCAGCTAGAAACATCAGGCGTCGCAAATGAGAGAAACATGGACATTTTTCTAAGATATTTCAATCTCACCCCCTCGAACAAAGCGTCGTCCAAACACTTCTGTCATAGCTACTGCTTCTCCAGAGAGTCTTTCTAAAACCATACTAAAAATGTACTCTAACAACCTACTCGTGGACGCCCTTATTGACACGGATAGTTCTTCGAGCTAAATAGATTCAAACGTTTTAAAAACTAATAAGTAGCAGATCTTCCCTTGCTCCGACAAAATAACTATGGTCAACGTTTCTTTGTGCGTCCAAGTAATTGGGTACCTCCTGGTAAGAGGTTAGTTAAAAAAATAATTCTTACATTTACACAAAACTATTAGTAATGAAGAACCTTTTTTGCAGCGTGATACTAGGACACGACTTCCTATATCAGCATTCTCGTATTATAATCCTTTTTGGATGGACCTAACCAACTTTAAAAATCTGCGGACTAGCGGCAATCATCGTTCTATTCCTATCACTTTTAACAACTTAATAGCGGACTGCTAACACCTGACTGTAAACTCATAATAGTAAAATCTAGACGGTACTCACACGATAACAAATCGCTTATTAAAACTGAAGTAACGAGAATGATTGTCAGTTATTGAATCAAACAAGTCTCCTTGCATACTCGGGTATTCGTAACTTCTGAGAACCACAAAAAGAGATTAATAATAGACTAATCCCAGTAGATTGATAGGTTCAGCAGCTAGATGCATATTTGCTGCTTGGTATCGACTAGAGGGTGAGACAAAGTGCCAAATACCAGGTTTATATTAATTTGGATTTCAAGAAGAGGAAATCAAGCCAGAGGATCCACTCTATTTAGCCTTCAAGTCGAATAGACGTTGGTATCTTTTACGACGGTTTCCATTTGGTGTGACTAACAACGTGTCGAGTTTTCAAAGAATTATTGACAGTAGAATAAGCACAGAAAAACTGAAGGACACGTTTCCTTACATCAATAATGTAACAGAAGATCTCGTTTGCTGATGTTACTAAAGCTACTGATAGTGTGTTATACTTTCAGTTTTCATTTTCATTTTGTTCCACCGATCTTCTTTTAATACTGTCCATATATTTCTCCTACAGATTCGGCTCGTTCAAAACTGTCGCATTGCAATTTGGGTGCTGCCTTAGGCCCTCTTCAATTTCCGTAATTTTATTCTAAGTTTTCATATAACTATGAGGTCATCATTTTCACAGTCGGCATTTGGATAGGTTTTTCCCTGTACAACTTAATTCCTGAATCTTTTGCTGATAGTTATGTAGTCATTTTGGTTTATCGTTTCTCCTCATGGGCTTCTCCGTATGTTTGTAACTGACAAAATCTCAATTGTTTCGCCAACTCTTTTCACATACGCCTAAAATGTTGGTATTAACCTGCTCATTTTCTGTTTTGTATTTTCCCACATTGTTTACTGTTCTAACACTTTATCTTCCGAAAATTATGTTTTATTTGGTGCAAACCATCACTGGATGAAATTCAGGTCACACTTCTCGCTCCTATCGCTTCTTATCGGACGTGGGATTAATTCCAAGGTGTTACCAACTTTTTCTTAACTCAGCGAATAGTCTAACTATTTCTGCCTTAGAAGTCAGTATTGAATTCTGCGAAAATATGTATGAACCATAACTAGTGAATAATCTTTAAGAATAGAGATCTGGAAAATCATCATCTATGTGGCCTATCCCTTTGGAACATTGTAAATCATAGCATTCTACAATTTTTTATTCTTTGTTATTCGCAGCAGTACTTATCATTTTACTATCCTTTTCAGCCATTCATTAAGCTCAGTAAACACTTTCGATACTCCTCTAAGATGTATGTCAAGTAAGTGTTAAATTCCCCATACATTATTTCTTCATGATGCGTGACAGAATGTTCAACAATTGGTTTTCTTATTCTAGGGAAAACTTTCAGTTTTGTTTCCACTACTCTCAAAATTTCCAATTATTTGGAGCCAAATCTCCGTCACCCTAAGTCTCCTTTTCATCGGTTAGGTAACTGTCCAGATTTTCAGCCTAAATACTCCCATACTTATTTATACAATTAAAGATGGCGTTTTAATCTGACACCCAGCCATTGAAAAGTTTGCGTCTTAGAAAACATTAGCATACTATAATTACTTCTCTGGCATGTTGTTTTATTTTAAGAGGCAAAAGGAATTGAACGAGATCGAAACAATTATCATTTTTACAACAACGTCTAGAATACATCAAATCGTTTGAATAGTTTAATAGTTAAATATTTGCAATTGTTTTTTATCTTCTTGTCTTTTTATCAATGAAATATAATAGGAATTGTGACATGACGTTAAAATTGATTAATCGTTACTCAATTTCCTTTAAATTATATATATATATATATATATATATATATATATATATATATATATATATATATATATATATATATATATATATATAAAATGTCTTTAATAAATAAATTTTCGGACCTTGTCCATTTCTTAATATATGACGTCATTTGTTTACATTTGATACGCCAGAGCAGTTATGAATGTACGAGATTCATGGAAGATTGAAGTTTATAAGCAGTAAATTCGACCTTGTCTACCGAAAAGTTTCTTTGTGGCCCAGAGGTTAGGCACGTCAGCGTAAATGACGGTTCCGTATAGGATGCAGGTTCGAATCCTGTCAAAGAACGAATATTTTCTATGAAAATTTCTCGGACATTCAGGCCGGTAAATGTTATTTAATACTGTTTATCATAAACAGAGCATTTGCTTAAATACTTGTATCTATAAATAACAACGTTAAACATAAAAAAAATGTCTTTAATAAATAAATTGTCGGACCTTTTCCATTTCTTAATATATATATATGTATATATATATATATAAAGAGAGAGGTAAACAGAGAGAGGTGCGAAAAGTTTTCGAAGAGAAATTTACTTTATAGAAAAATAAATATACAATAACAAATAATAAATATACTTACACTATTTACATTATTCAACTGTTTTCTCCTCAGAGTTTTCTCCATATTTACGAGGTTTCGCCCGTTGTACGCTCCGGCTTTCTTTAACTGCTTCGAATATCAAACCATTATTTCGTGGACTGAGGTAGATTGTTTGAGTTTCACGCCTCTTCCGTATATCTCAGTATTTCTCTTTAGCTCCACGGCCAGATATTGAACTCACAACTCTTTGGATCAAGTTACTGGGTTACATTAACTGACGATTTCATCCATTGGGCCATGTGACCATAGTGCTATAAATCTATGCATTTTGGGGAAGTTATAAACCTAATGTCTAATAAACTTAATGTTGTTATGATTTTTGTGACGTAGCATATGCGCTGATTAGTTAGGTTTTCATACATATATATATATATATATATATATATATATAAAGATATATATATTATGATTATTGTGAAATAATATGATAATTTGTGTTTCTATGAACCTAATACACTACCCGGTCATTCCTGTCGCTATGGCAATCTTAAAGTGTAAATTAACCGCTAGTTATATACTTGCCCGCTGGAGGTGGCACATCGATAAGGGTAGAAATTACTTCCGGCAACAAACGTCGCGCTGGAGTTGTTATTTTTACCGATACTTCCTATTTGATGCAA